TTTCAGATGAAGATGAAGTAGGTAAAAAAAAATGACCAAAAAGCTTATAAGAAGTGAAAACTGACCTTGTAAGAGTAAGTGTACATCATCAATGTCCAGTGGGACACCACCCTCGTCCTCTGCAGGAGCGCCGCTTTCTCCCCCTGATGCCATTACTGCGGTTTCGACACTCTCACACACTCATTCCCACTAAAATGAAAAAAATAAATAAATAAATAAATAATAATAATAATAATATATAGAATGATTTCTGAAGGACCATGTGACACTGTATACTAGAGTAATGATGCTTCACTAGATTGAATGAATTATATTTTCAAGTATATTATTTCACAAAAAAAAAATTCTGTATTTTTGATCAAATAGATACAGCCTTGAGCATAAAAAACTTCTTAAAAAAACATTACAATTCTTACAGATTTGAAACTTTTGAAGTATACTGTATATACTCTCTATGTACCCGTTTTAATCATCTGCAATCTGAATGTTTTAAAGTCTCACCCCATTTCTGTGTAAGTTCATTCAACATTATGTTATATAGATTTTATTTAACACATATTTAAAAGAATTAGTCAGTGTTAGGTTCTTTCCTATTAAATTTCCTGTGGTATATCAAATTTGACCACAAAAGTGTGACATATTTTTAAATGACCACTTAGACTTATCGAATGAAGTCCTTTTTTTTTTTTTTTTCAGATGAAGATGAAGTAGGTAAAAAAAAAATGACAAAAAGCTAATAATATATATATATATATATATATAAATGGTTAATTATTGTAATCATAAACCGCACACTTCTAAAAAAATTCATTAGATCTCATTCTTTCTAAATCAGTAAGCACAACATTTTACATTTTCATTTGTGCAATGAAAACAACTTCACATGACTGATTAAGTATCAGTTAGCAAATATGAAAAAGTGACAAAGACAGCAATACAGTTTCATAGGGCACAAAGGCTGACCCTTTCTTTTATTATGGACAGATTAAAACGGCGAGGCGCAATCTGAGGCGAGGTCTCAAATATTACATTGCAGAGATACAACATAAAGAGCTCCATCAATTAATCACACAAATAATTTTGATGGTACTGTAAGTTAGTTTGGGGGAGAAAGGGCTCATGAACAGATAAACAACATCAGCATAAAGTACCAATTTTGAAGAAGGAAAGCAAAGGAGGAAGTGTCCTGGGGAGATAAGGCTAATCATATCCAAACCCACACACAGCACCAATAAAGTCTCATAAACGAATACAGAACAGTAAGTTACTAAGTGAATCAAGACGGAAGTACGATTCAAAGGGAAGTGCATAATAAATGCACATATGAACACAGACACACAGGAAGCCTGAGGGCTTATGACTTGATATAATCATTATCATTACTGAAATGCTACACTGACTACTGTATATTCAGGAGTGGTTATAAGCTTAATACACTCAAATGGTATTTTAATTGTGATTAGATTTAAATTATTTTAACTGTGACCTTTACTGTTTGACTAATAACAATATGATGATAATAACTATTATTGTTTTTAATATTATATATGACATTATATTTAGAATTTTTGTTGTTCAATATAATTATGAACATATGATATTAAATGTAATATATTACATTTATATTAACAATTTATTGTTCACAACAATAATAATAAAATGAAAAAGTAAATATAATATTAACTATTATTATTGACAATAAGAAAATTATCATAGACTTATATACATATGATATATTACATTTATATTTATCATCTATTATTATGTTGTTCTCAAAAATGACAAAAATAATAAAATGTTTAAAAAAATAAAATGTTACGTCACGTATTTTTATAATATATTTTTGGTTTTCAAGTTTAAAAAAAAAAAATTTATGCAAACACCATATTAAAAACTTAAAGCTGCCTTACCTGTATTGTTTCCTGTTAAACGCACGTTTTGTAACGCTGTTCTGTTTTTTAGAGACCAACCAGGTAGACTCACTGTTTTTTTTTTTAAGGAAGAGAAGTATCTTCTAAAAAGCTTGTTAATAGGTCTCAAAAAAGGCTGTTCTTGCACATATACATGCTGATATCAAGACAAATGCAAGCTCATATGAACTCTGAATGAGTTACTTGAAAGTATAACAGGTAGTGGAACCGTCAAGGACTCTTCTGAACACTCGATCTTGTTATTAAATGTGAAAATTACTAAATGGTCATTAGAGGGCACTGCTTGAATCACTCCTGATTCTTCCAGAATACAGTCACACTCATTCAGCACACACACACACACACACACACACACACACACACACACAGAGACTCAGACTCACCATCTAAAACAGTCAGAGATGTGGAAACAGCAGCCTCACTTGCTGCTGCCAATACTGACATCAAAAGGGCAAATACAGCACTGGGAATATGCAGACATTGTTACCAGCTGTCCATGTACTTTTTTCCACATACGTGCACAGATTGACTGACAGAGGAGTAAGAGAAAGGGCAAGATAAATGAAGAGACCAGAGTGGAATCTGATGCTATTAATAGGATAGATTGATGACATGCAAAAAGCATTCTGTGTCAGCTAATATTTGCACTATGCATTGTGCATATGCGTAAACTTCATCTTCATTTACCATAATTCCCTTAAATAAGCATTTGAGACTAAGACTGCACCTGTATTGTTTCTATAATCCAAACCGCATACCTGGTAACTGACACTAAGGTTAAACAAAGCACAAGTGAATCTGGGGAGCTGCACTTAAAGAAATTAAATAGTTTCAACCCAAATTAAAGGAAATAACAAAGTATGTGCGTATGTTCACAAATGTGCATAATAATTAGTGTATTCACGTAGGTACATAATTAGTGTATATATGTATAAACAAATGACATAAACATACATAATATATTGCATATTGAGATTTCGTATTTGCAGGATTGCCTTTAGTCTGGTTTTAATATAATTTTAATTTTAATGAAATTAAACAATAATAAATTAAATTAAATGCATTGGTCTAAAAACAGCCTTCATTCTTCATGGAAATATAATTTATTGTTTTTGTTTGTTTGTTTTACTTTTGATTTTTGGGTGAAAAATCACCTAGAAATGTTTTTGACAGGCTTTCACCAAATAAAAGTCCTTAAGTTCAGTCAAACAAAGGCTATGATGTTAATTCCATAAATGACCCTTTACATAAGTGACATTACAGCATAGCTGTATTTGGGGTCTCATAAATGCAACTCGTAATGCACAGTGTCATGAAATGACATACACGTCCTTATTCTCACTGCTCCACTTCAAGTGAAACTGTATCAGATGACACTGCCTGTGGTGTTATTATTATTGCAAGGACACGGTTACCAATGTGACACTCATTCAAAGGTGGCTTCAGTTTCACAAAACTAAACAAACACATTTTAGGATCATCAGGCAAAAACAAATCCATATTTCAAGTTAAGCTTAACTTGCTATACACAGTCTTTTGCACCCTCCAAACACATCTATTACATAACAATAATGACTGAGCCCCAAATCATCTAACTAATTAGTGGAACAGCAAGACCAGACAAAGCCTCATTCTGAAAAGACTTGTTGGCTGCGGTGTGATACAGGCATGGGTGGGGATGCCATTGATATTCAGTTAGAAAGAATCATATTACTTAAACATAAGGGCAGTGCTGTTTAACTCATGCCCCAGCAAAAATAAGAAGACACAGGACATGGGGTGGGTGGCCAAACCTGGTGTGTTTGGTACAATCTGTTGAGCTGATCACTTGCACAGGAGAACTTAGGAAAACAAACTCCTTAACATCGATTAGCTATACGTAACTTTTCTTGTTTAAATTACACTCAAATAGGCTACTGTCAGAACTAAACTGCGTTGCAAAAAAAAATTCAGTGTGAAATAAATGAACATGAGCAGAAAGGCACATAAAAGTTAAAAGCTGGAAAGCATTATTAGTCCAGAAACTGATGACAGAGTATGCTTTAATTACTTTCGATTAACCTTTTACGGTTTAATAACCTTCACTCTCACGCAAAATACAAGTCAGCTCTGTAGTGCTCTCTCGCACTACAGCCACCGAGTGTAAATGGTCAAACTAGTTTTCATCAAATAATCATCCTTTAAAAACAACTAACTATACAAACTATGAGATGTGCAAAGTTAATGAACTGATGCTGTGGTTAATTTTAATGCATGCGACGTGCTTGACAGAAAGATGTTGTTTGGTATTGTCATGGCTTGCAGTTCAACCACTCATTTCATACAGAAAGTTATACAAACTCACAATGAATGAACGCGGTTTGCTGTCTCAGGCTGCTGACAATTCCTCTCAATTATTTCCCAAAACTGCACCTTTGGAAGCATTGGAAGTGAAAACGAGCACTGCGTGCGGCGTCGCGGCAATGGTTTGTTTGAAGTGTTTTAACTCCGCCTTCAATCCGCGTGAACTTGAAGTAGAACACACCTTTCTGAGCTCCAGGACGTTCGAATTATTTTAAAGAATCAGTTCGCTCGAACGATGAATCGTTTGAACCATCACTAATGAGTGTGTGACATTTTGTGTGTTCTGTTCTTTAAATGTTAGCACTGCCGTTTTGTGTGTGTTGTTGTTTGTTCATAATTTCATGCCACAATTTAAGTGCGAAATGGTTATAATGAATCATTTATAAGGAGCCGGTTCAAGAGAGCCATTAATTCGAGACATTGAGGGATGTGATGTCCTTTTTATTATTTGTGCATCTGAGAACTGACAACAGGCGGCAGTCTTCATTAATCACTGATTAAATGCAGTGCCAGCCTGTTGTTAAACCACTGTGTGTGCCTCCGCTGTCTAAAGGTGCGTTCACGCCATATCGGAATTCCCGTAATTACGAGATTCCAACTTGTAAAAAGCGTTCACCTTCTCGTAGAACTCGTAATTACAACTTGTGAACTGGGCGTTTTCTGAGAGCTACGACTTGTACCACATGACCCTCGCAGGCTCTGTTTAGGCGTTGATAGTGTTGCCATAGAAAAGCATAATTCCGAGTCCGTGGACAACTCCGAGTAGAACGTCACGTGCTGTCATCGCAGAATTACGGTAATTACGATATGGCGTGAATGCAGCATGCTCTTCATAGGTTTCAAAAAGCTGTTGACTGTTTGCTGGCGTGCCTGCGTGTGTATGTATGTATGGGAGTGAACTGGAGAAAGCGAGGAGAAGAGGTTTGAGGTATTAATTGAAATAATCAATAATTATTTTTGAACATTTTTTGGAAAAGTGAAAAATTATGTTTTCAATTTATTAAGTTTATTTCCTAATCTCGCTATGCATGACATGCATTACTAAATGCTTGTGGAAACAGCTAACGACAAAGAAAGAGGCACTGCCCCCTGTTATAGTTATAGTCACCTCTACTGAGGCTATAATTCAGGTTTAGGGGTGTTAAAATATTGTATTTAGTTTAGTTATATTGTAAATATATACAAACATTTATATTTTTTAATATTTTAAATATAAAAGTATAAAACTATTTACAATATACAATATTTTAACATCCCTAAGTCTGTAATCAGGCCTAGGTGAAGGGATGGTATAATGAATATTTTAAATATAAAAAGTATAAAACTATTTACAGTGTATATACAATATTTTAACATCCCTAAGCCTGTAATAAAGCCTAAGTGGAAGGATGTTATAATAAATATTTTAAATTGAAAAAGTATACAATATATATATTATTAGAAATATATATTATTTATATAAATACATAAATATAATACATAAATATTTATTTTTAAAATATATTTATTATAACATTCCTCTACTTAGACTAATACAGGCTTAGGGATGTTAAAATATTGTATATTGTACATATTGTATATAGTTTTATACAGTAGAGGGATGTTATAATAAATATTTTATATAGAAAAGTAATCTAGCTTGCGCCAACAGTTGTACACAAAAGCAGCTCTGGGAGGATGATGTAAGATGTTGGCGTTGCTCATGCGCGGGGAGTCTCGTGAAAACCAACGTTTGTTTACAGGAGCAAAGGAAGCAAAGTTTCCTTACTTTAGCAAAGAAAAACCAACCTCCTCTTGGCTAATATTGAAATCCTCCGACATTCTTCTTTACAAATCCTGGTTTTGTACTTCTAATTCGTGACCGTAGTTTTGTTTTGATCGCTCCCCTGCACTTCCGCGTTCGTCACTTCTGAGCAGCGCATCCACAACGCCGACGTCCTATGTCATCCACCCGGAGCTGCTTCCGTGTACAACAGTGAGCGCAAGCTAGATTAAATTGATTATTACATTTTAAATATGGTTATTTTCCTTACAAAAACACATCAATTCGCTACAGGAGGCCTTTGTTCAACCCCCGGAGCCGTGTGAGGCACTTTTTAGTATGGATGGATGCTGTTACGTCCTCCCCCTTTGGTCTAGGGGTAAATAGGGAACGACGAACAATAAATAGTGGAGAGACCTTGAGGATCTCCAGCTCTCCAGGCCCAAAAATCACAACCAACCACAGATTTGAGTTTGAAAACGGCTTGGGTGCCTTTTAATTTTAACTCAATCAAGGGATTCAAAAAGGATAACATTAATATAAAATAACAGTAAATACAAACAAAGAAACAATACCTCGGGAGTAGGGCCCGAACAAAAGAAAATCACAAAGAAAAATACCTCTACCTAAAAAGGGGGAAATAATAAATTACCTACATTAAAGAAAATAAACAAAACAACATATAACTTCCCTAACTAACCATTAAACAGGAGAAAACGTATGGGTATCCTCCACCCTACCTTCCCCAAAAGCTTAACTGATTATTAATGAAATCATCAACTCAGGAAACATTAGACAACCCAACAAAGAGCACAACAAGCGCGATAAGCGCTCATGGGCTTGGAGAGCGGAACAACCTCAAATGCCGCGATGTCTCTCTCCTTCCTCCACGGCACGATCTCTATGCTATTTTGTACTAAAAGCCAGCAAACACGCACCAATCAGAGTGTGGACAGCGCATACAGGTGGATGAGTGCTGCTGATCATCATTAGCCTATCAAGCACAGACACACAGATAGAGAGAGAGAAAGAGAGCAAAAATACAAACACCAGCAGCAACACTCTTTATTTCAATAATAGAGACAAAAATTAAAGGCACAATATGTAATTTTCACTGCTGGAGGGCGCGTATTCAAAATAAACAAGAGACAAAGGCATAGTTTGATGACTCCGTGACTGAGTGTGGAATCATGGGAGCTGTCGTCTTCATCATCGCCACAGCCGATGCAATCCTACGGGACTCGGGCAGAAATCATGCATAGAATAAAGCAGGGTGAGGCTGAAAGCCGTCGAAGCGAAACGAGGCCACTGAACGAGCGTGACACACGGCTCGAAAGCAGCGGAGCTTTTATTATGCCACAGTCGACTGCTTCTGCTCCTTCCGGTCGTGCGTATGTGGGGGGGAAAAAATCAGTGCTGTTTTATCATACTAGATACATTTGAAAGTTCTGTTATAATGCTACTCTGTGCAGTCGTTGAAATACGACCGGAAATCGAGGGTGTATGACGTAATTACACTATAGACACGGTGCATGTCACTAGTTAAAATTGCTTATTTCTCTGGATTTAAACATTCTTCGAAACATTTGGGATAATGTAAGTACACAAGTCAGCAAAATATATAACACCGTTCTAGTGGTTTTTGGATATTTTAATAAAAAAAATCTTACATATTGTGCCTTTAATATGTCATTAGATGTAACAATGCGCTTTATTTCACTTCTTTTGGACTGATGAACTGCAATACCCGCTGACTGCCATTAAACAGCTTGGAAGATCAAAGTCAATTTTTAATATAACTCCGACTGGATTCGTCTGAAAGAAGAAAGTCATATACGCCTAGGATGCCTTGAGGGTGAGTAATTCATGGGCTAATTTTCATTTTTGGGTGAACTAACCCTTTAAGTTTTTCCATTGGCTCAACATGAAATTTCACATTAACTCAATGTTTAACAAGTCATTAACATGGTGAGTTGGAAATGTATGATTTCTTTTTGTTTACAGCTTTTGTGAGAATGATCATTTTTATTAAATATTGGCAACTTTTGCTGACTACGAACATAACATCATAAAACAATTTTTAGAACTACTGCATAAAAACAAATATATTTCCAGTTAAAGAATACAACTATCTTCCCTTTTGCCTGCAGACCGCATCCGCCATCTCTGCTGATTCAGAGTCTGTCAGTTCTGTCTACAGCCATGGCAGGAACCTCTGCTGCCTACTGTAATGGATTGTGGATCTTTAGCTGCAGGAACGTCTGTAGCAGCCAGGAAAGGAACATCTGGGATTGGAGAGGCTGAGACAACAAGCTGTGGCAGCCTTGACCACTGGCATGACTTGAAGCTCTGCATCCATGACAGTAAACTCTGCACGATTAAGCATTAAAAGATTGCAATCTTGTGTTTTGCTGCTGCCCAAATTAAAATTCTATTTAATTGAAATTAATTATTTTTAAAACTGACTGAAGCAACAAACATTTTGTCAGAACCTCTAGTAAATGTTTTGTTTGCCTATAAACTTTTTCTTCACCACATCAAGATGTCATGTATTGTAACAAGTCTGATGAGTGTGTTATGTTCTGTTCAGGTGTGATTTAAGTGCATGTATATTGTGTTATGTGTTCTTTTGAATTGGGCTTTGAGGGGTGAGTGTTTTTCTGAAGAATGAGACTGCACTCATGTGGTATTTTTATTTTTTGGGGGAAAAAGTTGTTGTTTTTTTGTTAGGAGGCAGGAGCACCTGTTACACGAGTGTTCACGATAATATAAAACCTAAAACTGTAAAGTGAGTCTTAGCACTTATTACGATCATTACAGTACTGTGTTTTTCATTTTATATATAAAATGTCATTTTATAAAATATTTTATTATTTATATATTCATTAAAAAAAAATGGTATCTATGAAGAATTTCAGTCAGGTTTCAGGCCCCACCATAGCACAGAAACTGCACTTGTTAAAATTACAAATGACTTGCTTCTTGCATCAAACCAAGGCTGCATCTCATTGCTAGTTTTACTTAATCTTAGTGAATCTTCCAGGAATTTTTGGAAAGTTTCCTGGAAATTTACCAGAAACTTTACACCCCTTTGCAACCCTAGTTGGACCACAGAGATCTTGATGTGTTGGGTTTGGAAGCAGGCAGATTCTGTCCGATATTTCAGCCATTGCTACCATAGACACCATTGCTGCTCTGACTGGATACAGTCAGATACAAATCTGACACCACATGCACGGTCAACTCCATGCCCAGAGTAAACAATGGTCTTATCATCACTAACGATTTGGCCAGATCCCAGTCACCGTATCTCCGATATCAAGCCGGTAGTCATTCTACCGGTCATTC